TATATATATATATATATATATATATATACTGTATACTGTATAAAGCCTCCATGGGCGGGGTGGCATTAATGCACGGGCTTACCTGGGCTTAAGCTCAGGGCCCCGGGCTGAGGAGGGCCCCCGGTGATGCCGTAAAATATTGTGACCTCATTTTATAATGAGTTGACTGTTCCTTTAAAATGACGCTTTATCACTCTGCTTTGAATGCACGTGCGCAAGCCGAGAAGGGTCAGTCAAACGCTCCCAAATATGAAAGAGAAAAGAGAAAAATTGGCAAAAATAAAGTGGAAAGTCAGTCAAATTTGTTCTTTGTCCTTTTTCATCTTAACATAGTTGAACTCGCAGTAGTTAGTTAGTCAACACACACTAGAGCTGTGTAATATCATTTTTATGATGCATCGTGATGCTAATGTGAACGATTCTAAATAGGCCTATCATACATATTAACGTACTGTTTTATTGTAAATAAAGTACTCTTGTTAAAGGCTAATAAACAAAAGTTGTGTATGCTTATGCCTTTGGAAGCAAAGCACTTAATTGCGCCGAGTGTTTCCAGATAATCGTACTTCTATCAGATAATAAACTTCTTTAAAGCAAGATTCTTTTTACGAAAAGAAAATGAATGAATGAGAAAATAATGTGGGACATGCTTGGTGTTAAAACTAGTTTTTAAGCGCAATAGGCTAAGCCACAAAAAGATCTCAATGTGTTACTGACTGACACACCCGAAGCGCGTGCACAGAAAGCTGCCTCTCAGACAGCATGCAACACTGAATAACTTCAAAATATGTCTTTGTGTAAACATAGACAGCTATGTCTTAAGTGATAGGAAACGGTTGTGGAAAAATCTGATGTGTAACATATTAGATCTGTGATTTAGATCTTATTAAGTTCTGTGATTTCTTAATATAATACACCTGCTGCTCTCTGTGTCATTAATGTTAATCAAACAACGAAAGAAAAGAGGGAATCACACTGTAAAAAGTAATCATTGAATCTACTTAAGAAAAGCGAGTAAACATAACTGATTTTTACAAATTTGTTGAGATATACACAAGTTACCTATACAAAGTTACAGTAAGTTTTATTAACTCAAAAATGATAAACTAATTTGCTTGAGAAATTTGAGGCAATCAGTTTCCACAGGTTTTCCAAGTAAGTTCAACTCATTACTTTTTACAGTGCACTCACTGCTGTTGACCAGTGAGTGTCGGCCTAGTGGTTCAAAATTTTACTTGCTCTGCCACAAAAAATAAAATTTTTTGTTATCGTTGTTTTTGACACCAAAATTTTAGAAGATCTCAATGTGTTACTGACTGACACACCCGAAGCGCGTGCACAGAAAGCTGCCTCTCAGACAGCATGCAACACTGAATAACTTCAAAATATGTCTTTGTGTAAACATAGACAGCTATGTCTTAAGTGATAGGAAACGGTTGTGGAAAAATCTGATGTGTAACATATTAGATCTGTGATTTAGATCTTATTAAGTTCTGTGATTTCTTAATATAATACACCTGCTGCTCTCTGTGTCATTAATGTTAATCAAACAACGAAAGAAAAGAGGGATCACTGCTGTTGACCAGTGAGTGTCGGCCTAGTGGTTCAAAATTTACTTGCTCTGCCACAAAAAATAAAATTGTTTTGTTATCGTTGTTTTTGACACCAAAATTTTAGATACCACTTCAATTTTACAATTCTCAATTCCAATTTCGATAACACAGCAAAAACTACTAGCCTAACAAAGATAAAGAACAAATTATAAGCAATTGCACAAATAAATAATTAGAAAAAGATACAAATTAAATAATGCTTTAGTGTTTTTAGGTTTGTAGGTGTTCAGATACAGGAACTGAATAATCAAATGTAAAATAACATTGCATATTCTTCACTGTATCGCGTAAATATAGATTAATCCTTGTTAAAACCAGAAAAGTTATTCAGTAAAGAGCAGTGAGTGA